AACCACCAAAAAACTGAAAGTGTGGCTCAAGTGGGAGAGTGCCAGCCTTGAGTAGAAAAAAGCTAAGAGAGAGTGTCCAGGCTCTGAGTTCAAGCTTTAGTAACAGAAACACACACACACACACACACACACACACACACACACACACACACACACACACACACACACACACGAAGAAGAAGGAGGAGGAGGAGGAGGAAGAGGAAAGAAAGAAAGAAACATTAACCTGAGTCTGTCTACGAGAATGGCCAAAATCCGAAACACTGCCAAGCCCAAATGCTGGCAAGGAAGAACATGGAGCAAAGAATTGTCGTTGGCTGTTCATGGAAATGAAAACTTAGGTAACCACGTTGGAAGACAGTTTCTTGGGAAACTAAACATACTCCTATCCTATTGCTTGATATAGCAATTCTTGGTGAAAACTTGGTTCTACACAAAAATGAACACATGAATGTTTCTAACAGCTTTATTGATAATAGCCAAAAATTGAGATCAACCACCATGTCCTCTCTATAGGAAAATAAACAACTTGTAATACACACACTAGATGATGAGATATTATTTAAGAGTAAAAAGTGACAAGGCTCAGGTGGAAGCAGACCTTGAATGCATATAAGTAAAAGAAGCTAATGTGAAAAGACTGTATACTGCATGGCTCCAACTCTGACATTCTAGAAAAGGCAGAACAACACAGATCATAAAAGGCATGGTGATTGGCTGGATCAAAGGAGAAGAAGAAATTAATAGGCAGAGCACAGAGAATTTTTAGGGCAATAAAACTCCATATGTTACCACTGTGGTAGATGGCATGACATTACATATTTGTCAAACCTAATGGAACAAGCCAGACCTAACTTTAACCCTAGCTACTCAGGAGGCTGAGATCTGAGAATTGCAGTTCAAAGCCAGCTGGGGCAAGAAAGTCCTATGATGCTCTTGCCTCCAAAAAAAACTACTCAGAAAAAGCTGGAAGTAGCACTGTGTCTCAAGTGGTAGAGCGCTAGCCTTGAGCAAGATAAGCTCAGGGACAGGGCTAAGGACCTGAGTTTAAGCACAGAGACCAGCACACGCACACGCACGCGCGCGCACACACACACACACACACACAAACAATAAAAAATGATACCGAAACCATAAAACGTATACCACCAAAAATCAAGCCTCTTGTAAACTGTGGTTTTGGGGTGATACTGACCCAAACTATGTCACCACCAGCTGGGAACTAGTGCACCATTGCTGAGCAGAGGCCAGTGGTGGAGAGGGGTGTGCCCGTGTCGGGCAGGGAGGACCTAGAAACTTTTCTACTTTTAGCTCAAGTTTTCTGTGAACCTAAAACTGCTCTAAAAAGTAAAGTTTACTAATTTAAAAAATTTCAGTAAGTGCCAGAGCTAGAATTTGATGTCAAGTAGTTTCAATCGTAAAACCTTTGCTTAATTTGAAAGTGCCAGCAGGCCTCTGAGATTAAAGAAGCAAGTCCAAGCTTCTGAGTTGAAGTCTGCTGCACATTATGTTTCTCCAACCCTTTTCTTCTTAAGGTCTCCCAGTTTTAATTTCCAACCAAGCCATGGGTCAAGAGCTCCATTAATAGGCAAATCCTGAAGGGGGTCTTGATTCACAACAACCACTAGTAATTTCCAGTTGGTGCTGGTTATCTATTGCTCTACTATAAACCATCTCCAAACTCCGGTGGCTTAGGAGAGCATATTATTAGTCAGAGTTCCTCGGGCTGGCCAGATAGTTCTGCTGTTATTCTCACTGGGGCTGACTCACAAAACCACACTCCACCAGTGGATGTGCTGGGGTCTGTGCTCAGGCAAGATGGCGGGCTAACACTGGGCTTTCTCATAGCATAGCGAAGTGCAAGGCAACAAAAGCACAGACTCTTAGCGTCATAGGTTCTAAGCTCTGGAGCTACACTGGGCTGCTTCTGCTATATCCCACTGGTCAGAGCAAGTCCATTTGGCCAGCCCACATTAGGGTGAGGACCACACCCCTAGATGACAGTAGCAATCACCTCACCAAGAACACGCACATAAGAAGGCACCATTCACTGGGGGCCATTATTGTACATACTACTATTCCGCATCCTCCTGTGGCCCCAAAGGCTCACGTGTCCTTCACAGGAAGATCTCCCAAAGCCTCATCCAATCCCAGCATCCAGCCCAGAGCACATGACCTCACAACTCAGCAACTCTTACTTACAAACAGATCTTTGCTACAGTGACCCTTAATGTAGACTCGATGAACTAGGAAAACAATGATCTGTGCCATGGGCATCCAACAACCCATGGAACGGCAGGGGTAGAATTAACTGCAAGTGAGGCTCCCATTCAAAACCAGGAGAAACAAGGGTACCCATTCCGGTACCCTTTCTGACATCTAGTTACACACATGGCTCGGGCTTGGGCCCCCTCTTCTAGGAACAGAGAATCTCCTTTACTGAGGAGCCAGCTCCATGCCTTGATACTGGTTTCCTAAATTATTATTCTTTCCCAGCTCTTGGCTCTGGTCCAGGTTTGTGGCCTTTCCTTCTGAGATACCCTTCATTTCTCACAAGAAATGACCTGTGTTTCAGGTGAAATGCTTTCTTAGTCTCCTTTCTTCCCATAGATGATTAGGAGCACAGAGGCCTCTTTTTAATTTTGAACTCTCTTCCTTTCTGTCCAAACTGACAGTGCTCTCATAAATATAATACTTTAAAAAAAAAACTTGTTTCTTTCCATGCCCCAAAAAAGCACATCTATAATTCCTTTCAATACATACCTGTATTGTGGACATGTCAAATTGTTATGGAATAATGCCCTTAAGATTCTTAGAAACATTTTGTCAGCCTGACAGGGTCTAGGAAGCACCTCCTTAAATTTTTCTGAAGTCTTAATGGTCACAGCCAAGATCCAATGTTTACCTTGAGGCCATTTCTTATTTTGAGAAGCTTTAGCTGACTGGAGAGACTAGAAATTTAAAATAGTTTTATTTTTTAACTCACAATGTCCTGTCTCTCTTATAGTGCCTGTAAGTTCTAATTTATAAACAAACATTTCACTCTGGCTCGTTTCTGTCTTCTCCGGTTTAAAAAGAACAAGGAAAAAAATCCAATGGGCATTTTTGTGATGAACCTGGAAATTTCCTCATCGGGTCCACAGGTTTACAAGGTATACCTTCTCTGTCAAGCTACTGTGGCCCTGGGCCTGCCTGGCATACAACATGAGCTGCCATTTGTCCTTCCAAGATGGCAGCTCCCTTGCTGCTCTCTGGGCCTCTGGTGGCCTTCCCCTTGCCACCCTCACAGCCTCCACTAAGCCAGTGTCATCTACTTTAAGTCTCTGCTACACTTGCGTCCACCACCAGGCACCGAAATCTGTACTGGTTACTCATTATCACCCAGTAAGACGTTCCCAAACCTAGAGGCTTAAAACAACTACAATTTCTTATTTCCCATGATTCTCTCTGACTGGCAGGTCTTTCTGGGGGCCATGAGGGGACAAGGTTCACCTAAGCCTTTTCCTCTAGCAGGCTTTCATTCTGACAATCTGTACTCACTAGAACAGATCACAGGGCCCAAGGCCTCCATCACTCTCGCCTCAGAAAGTGACCAAAGTGGGCTGGGAAGGTGGCTCAGTGGTAGAGCGCTTGCCTTGCATGCCTGAGGCTCTGGGTTTGATTCCTCAGCACCACATAAGAAAAAAGAAAAAAGCCGGAAGTGGTGCTGTGGCTCAAGTGGTAGAGCACTAACCTTGAGCTAAAGAGCTGAGGGACAGCGCCCAGGCCCAGAGTTCAGGCCCCATGACGGGAACCAAAAAAAAAAAAAAAAAAAGACAAAAAAAAAAAAAAAGAAAGTGACCAAAGTCACTTCGGCCATAGTCAGAAAGGATGGAAAAGGGGAGTGGATGTGTGTCCTGGTATGGGGCTTGAACTCAGGGCCTCATGCTCTCACTCAGTTTTTTTCACTCACACTACTACCGGACCCATGCCTACAGTTCCTCCTGCCAGGTAAAAGAGTGACGAAGGACATGAACTCAGGAGATCCTCTTCATTAACACTATTGAAACAACATATCACATTCTGCTTCGTTTTTCTACGTATAGAAATACGTGATATCACACAACATGGTTATGGGACATGATATCTGCCTTACTGGTTTATTTAGATGAAGTTCGGTGAGTCATAATGCTTTACGATAGCCATGCTAGTGAATGGCCTGCCATTTCTTTGGTAAAGTAATGAATTCTTAGTGACTTGAGATTTGACTAGCGCTCTTGGCTATAAAATATTTCCTGTGAAGTAAAATGATATTGCTAAGGAATTTTTGTGGAAATGATAGGGTTTATGGATTAGCAAAGTGAGGACTAATGAAGTTCCTCTGCCTTTACTGCAACCTCAGAACTAGAATTCCTATAAAGAAGTTACTTCTAAAGTAAAGGAAAAAATTAGGTTTAAGGTAAAGGCCTTTTCGAGTTATTCTGGTAGAGATGGCATCATATTAAAAAGCAGAGGGTTCTAAAAGCTTACATCTTGCCATTACAGGATCATTTTTATTGCAATATATAACTTAAATTAATTAAATTTTCACATGGATAACTTGGCAATAAAATTATTTATAATCTAAAAGTATGTCTGTAATTTTACTGTGATTTTTTTACAAAATTTAGGACAATATAAGCTACAGTTTTTCTATCTTTATTTCTCAGAGTCACTCTTCGTGTTAAAACTACAAAATTTTTATACATTAGAATATAAAGTGTTGTTGCTCAGATATTTGTGACTGAGCAAATGTTACTTTTACTAACTCCAGAAATGTGTAAAATGAATAATTATAAGAATACATCATAATATTTACCATCTTCTTCTACACAGTAAACATAAAATATAGCTGAGGAATATTGAATTAGATTGCTTCCCCAGGAAAACATTTAATTTTCCATATAGTAAAAGGAACCAAACAAATCAGAGGAGGGACAGTCTCATGACATAATTTACAGTCACTACTGTTATGGTTGTACCTGTGCTTGTTCAACAGTCTTCGTCACGCCAAGAAAGAGTTCAGACACCTCCCAGGAAGGAAAACTTCAAACACATTGTGCAAATCCAGCTGTAGAATAAATTATAGAATAAATTATTATAGAATAAATTAAAAGTCTGCATGCAAAGCACTTAAACACACTCAATTCATCCTATAAAATCTTCCTCCATCACCCAGCCTGACAGCCATTCTGCCCAAAAGTTTAAACATGTAAAACTATGGCCTGGACATCACAGTGCACACTGTAATCTCAGCTCCTTGTGAGATATGGATCATGAGAATGGCTTTTCCAGGTGAGGTGAGTCAAAAGTTAGTGAGAGCTTACCTCAACCAGGTTGGGCATGGTGGCTATGTGGATTAGAAGGATGGTGGCCCAAGACCAACCCTGGCAAAAACACAAGACTCTATCTGAAAAATGGCTAAATCTTTTTTTAAAAGCATTGGAGGCATGGCTCAATTGGTAGAACACATACCCAGGAAGCAAGAGGCCCTGAGTGCAAACCCCAAGACTGGGGCGGGGGGGGGGGGGGGGGGGGAGGAGAGAAAGGGAAGGAGGAGGGAGGGACCAGCTAATGTTACAGAACATAAAAACATCAACAATGACATTGAAGTGGAACCACTAAAATAGGAGGAAAAAATCACTTTTCCAAAATCTACTGGCACAAATATGATGAAGCGCAGCCTGAGAGGGCTGAATAGACCCAGAAGCCATTGCTATGAACACAGTCATGGGGGACATACTTAGTCTGCAAAGCAATCCTCTGTTTAAAAGGAGACTTGAATCTTAATCGCTCACTTCAAATATTTTTAAAGGTCAGGACAAGCTTAAGCTCCTCTATTAAAAGTATATATGCAGAACACTTAAATACACTAAAGTTTTTAGTAATTCATCTTGTAACCGTAGACAAATAATGCATACTTGTTGAATTAATTAATTCAACAAATGGAACACACAAATCAAGCTTCGTACTAGGGACCAACTTTAAAAGTCAGACTCAACCACACACACCAATCTGGGACCCAATCATTCCACTGGAATGAAGATATTATAAGCCACCAGAGAGATGACTCACACCAACGCACAGACAGCAGCTTGGGCGCTGGAAGCCACCTTCCCAGGACCACTGAAGGAGGCATGACAGATCTTGACTAGCAAGTGCATTGTGGAAAGCAAGTTCCACTCAGAAAGACTGTGAGCTGTTGTGTTCAGAGCCTAATTTTTGAAGAACTTAAGAGTCATAAAGAAGAGCTGACCATAATAGTTTTTTTAACTAACCTTAACCTCTCCCTTTACATCAACATCACTGAGATTTGTACATTTTTATTGCAGTATTTACTTTATTTTTTAAATCAGTGGGCAGGTTTATAATTTGTCTTAAATTTTTTTTTTTCAAAACAAACTTAAGTTGCATTTCCCTTACTGGTGAAGCCCAACTGGTTACCCAGCTGCCCACAGCTCCCTCCCCATCTTCCTGACAGAGAGGGGAACACATGATCTGTCTTTTGTGTACCTAGTTAAATAGCCTCACCAATAAGGCTGGCAGGCAACAGCCATGGGTGCTGAAGACTAACAGGGCAGGAGGGGAGGGGGCCATGCAGAGATGGCCAAGCCCTGGTTTATTCCTCTACATTTATTCAACAAACAGTTTCAGTACCTACTATAAAATAAAGATACCATAAAGCTGCCTCAGTCGTTTTCTGTTACTGTAACTAAATACATGAGACCAAGGAATTTAGAGAGAAAGAAGTCTATAGAACTCATGGATCTAGAGGCTAGAAGTGCAAGACTAGGCAGCCACAGATCTACTCAGCTTCTCACTGCACTGTAACATGGTAGAGGGCCTCCCACGAGAGACAGAGCAAGCATCAGAAACAGAGTGAGCACTTTTACCACAAAGCTACTCCCTCACCAGCCCATTAACCTATCAATCACTTCCAAAGCCCTTCCTCTTAAATCCTGTCAATGCATGACTTCAGGTATCAAGCTTCCAGTGAAATTTGGAGAATACGTTGAAAGCACAGTAGTAGTCTGTGCTCATTTTATATATTTACTATTTATTGCCTCTCTGTGGCTGGAGTTCAGCTAGGCAGTTCTCTCCTGTAATGGTCATCACATAGCAGGTGGGGTGGACTCATGAGGAGAGCCTACAGGACTGGACACCAAAGATGGCGAATTCCCATGTCTGGCATTGATGCTCCCTCTTGGCTGCAGGAAAACTGGAGCCATGTTATCAACCTGCTCATTTACATGTGATCTTACCTGCTCACAACGTCCCAGTCTTGGAGATTACAGCTGGATCTCAAAAGTGTGTGTCCAACAGCCAACCTTCTACTCTAAGAAACCCAAATAGAAGCAGAAAGATTATTGTGATCCAGTCTTGCAGGTCACACAATGTCACTTCAGTTGCAGCCCCGACTCCATGACAGACAACACAAGCGAGATTAAGGGAGACATGATCCTTGAGGGGCTGGATGATTCTAAGTGCATAATGTATATATAGCACACAGGCATTACATGCTAGAGAGGATTTTATAGCCTCAAAAGTGAATCCTGGCCAGGTGCCAGTGGCTCACGCCTGTAATCCTAGCTACTCAGGAGGCTGAGATCTGAGAATCGCCATTCAAAGCCAGACCAGTCAGGAAAGTCCATGAGACTCTTATCTCCAATAAATCACTAGAAAACAGGAAGTGGCACTGTAGCTCAAGCAGAAGAGCACTCACTTTGAGCTGAAGAGCACAGGGACAACGCGCAAGCCCAGATCGACCTAAAAAAAAAAAAGTGAATCCTGGCAGGTCAATCGATTCTTCCTTTGTAAAATGAGGAATCTAAATGTCAGGGAGCCTAGGTCACTTACGGGAGGTGACCAAGCTGTAGCTTTCCTCTCTGAAAACCAATCAACTGTGCCACTTCTCACGATTAACCCAAAGCATTCATTTATTTATTTACTTATTTACTACTTTCCACATGAACATTTTTGTTCTAAGGAGCACTGCTAAAATTGTTCATCAGAAAGGAAATAATGTCTCCTGCTTTCAAGGATGTTATAATCTAGTGCAGGCCAAGAATATTGAACAACGTGCTGCAGAACAAGGAAACCTCAGCAGATGCTCCTCTATCCAAACTACTTAATTTACATACAGTCACCATTCCAGCTTTGATAACCACAGCTTCCACGTGGTTGCTTGGCCTAAAATAGTGCCTGCAGGGTGGTGCTAGGGTGTGTGTTCTGCATATGAACAGACTCTTTTTTTGTGTGGTACTGGGGTTTGAACTCAGCTCCCACTTCATGATGGCTAGATAGGTACTCTACTACATAAGCCATGCCCACAGCCCTTTTTTGTGTAGGCTCCTTTTTGAGATAGAATGCCCCTTTTTGTCCAGGCCAACCTCAATCTCAACATTCTAATTTGTGCTTCCCACGAACCTGGGATGACAAAGGTACACTACTACACACAGCCATTGGTTGAGATGGAGTCTCTCAAACTTTTTGCCTAGGCTGGCTTCTCACTGCTATCTCCTGATCTCCTCTTCCCAAGTTACTTTTTTAATTTTTTTTTAGCCTAGGCTGGACTTGAACTCATGATCCTCCTGCCTCAGGAGAGTCCTCCAATTATAAGCATGATCCACCAAACCTAACCGTACAGGCTTATTTTTTGGCCATTATTCCCTAAACAATACAGTTTGACCTGTCAATACAGTTGAACTTAGGTTGTAAGAGATGACAGTCTACAGGAGGCAGTGCCTACACTATATGCAAATGTGCATTGTGTTATATACAAATAGGCTATGGCATTGTGTCATTTGCAAATATACATTCTGTTCTGAAGGACTTGACCCAACAGAAATTGTCCTGAAAATGCTCCTTGATCCTTTCTGCGTTCTTCAAAGAAAAGGTAAGAATAAAATATGGTATGGGATAAAGGGTAAGGACTAGAATTCAGAAGCCCACGGAGCCCCTAAAAGCTACTGCAAGATTCCACCACTGCCCTGCTGATGCCCTCACAAATCCGGAAGGAATTTTGTTTAATGTGTGAAAGTGTAAGTGCTATTCTTCTCTAGAAGGCCACGCAAACGGGTGTATAGTTGTCCTTCTGTGTCCGAATGCGTTTTTAAAACCTTTCCACTTTCCCATGGCTGTAAGTGAAGCCCTCGCCCACGTTTATCACACTGTTGATCACTTTCCCTACCTACAGGGCAGTAATTTTCCACCCTGTAGCCCAATCAATATGCCATCTACCATGGTTAACTTTATTCCCTACCCTTTCCTTAATCTGGTATGCCTTTATTTTTATTACAACTTTTCAAAAGTCTCAGACAATTTAAGCCGTTGGTGTCTTTCAAAGGTACGAGTTCGGTTTTTTTACTTTAAAAAAATGTATATGCACTTGCTCTCATCTGTTAAACACCAGAGACCTTAAGAACTTGCGTCTCAATCTACCTTATTTGTTCCCTTGCGTCTTGCTACTGCAGCCCTAGGTGTTCTGTATAATGCATGAGTGAGCCCCGCTTAGAAATAGAAATGCATTTTCAGTAAGCATTTATTATGTTGTTCTGGGCATACAGCTTTAAATTTGCGCGCTGTAGCTTGAAGCATTACACAAACTGCTGGTCTGCTGACTGCTTTTCTGGCAGCAACACACAGAAAATAGATGGCTAAGGGTTTTTTTTTTCCCCTTCTCCTCCCCCACGCCTCTCTCCTGGCTCCCCTCCCTCCTCTCTGTCTCTGTATCTCTCTCGGTCTCTCTCTGTCTCTCAGTCTGTCTCTACCCCCCCCCCCCCCGCCTTTTTTTCTCCTTTAAAAACAACAACCCGGGCGCGAACGTCTCTCCAAGCTTGTGGCATTTTTAATCCACACGTTCTTCCTCCCAGGACCTCTGCTCCCGTATTGATTCCCATTAAAACGCTTTTCTTTCCTTTGCCCCCTCTGCTGATCGAATTTCAGATCAGCCACAGGATAGGCGACCCACACCTTCCGGCCCCGCCGCCCCGGCCGGGCCGCCGGGGATCGCGGGCGGCCCCCCCTCGCCTCGTCCTCCCCCCCCCCCCGCCTCGTCCTCCCCCCCCCCCCGCCTCGTCCCCCCCGCCTCGTCCTCCCCCCCTCGTCCTCCCCCCCCCGCCTCGTCCTCCCCCCCGCCTCGTCCTCCCCCCCGCCTCGTCCTCCCCCCCCCCCGCCTCGTCCTCCCCCCCCGCCTCGTCCTCCCCCCTCCCGCCTCGTCCTCCCCCCCCCTCGTCCTCCCCCCCCCGCCTCGTCCTCCCCCCCCGCCTCGTCCTCCCCCCCTCCCGCCTCGTCCTCCCCCCCTCGTCCTCCCCCCGCCTCGTCCTCCCCCCCCCCCGCCTCGTCCTCCCCCCCCCCCCGCCTCGTCCTCCCCCCCGCCTCGTTCCCCCCCTCGTCCTCCCCCCCCGCCTCGTCCCCCCGCCTCGTCCTCCCCCCCGCCTCGTCCTCCCCCCCCGCCTCGTCCTCCCCCCCCCCGCCTCGTCCTCCCCCCCCCCCGCCTCGTCCTCCCCCCCCCGCCTCGTCCTCCCCCCTCCCGCCTCGTCCTCCCCCCCTCGTCCTCCCCCCCCCGCCTCGTCCTCCCCCCGCCTCGTCCTCCCCCCCCGCCTCGTCCTCCCCCCCGCCTCGTTCCCCCCCTCGTCCTCCCCCCCGCCTCGTCCCCCCGCCTCGTCCTCCCCCCCCGCCTCGTCCTCCCCCCCCGCCTCGTCCTCCCCCCCTCGCCTCGTCCTCCCCCCCCCCGCCTCGTCCTCCCCCCCCGCCTCGTCCTCCCCCCTCCCGCCTCGTCCTCCCCCCCTCGTCCTCCCCCCGCCTCGTCCTCCCCCCCCCCGCCTCGTCCTCCCCCCCCCCCGCCTCGTCCTCCCCCCCCGCCTCGTTCCCCCCCCTCGTCCTCCCCCCCCGCCTCGTCCCCCCGCCTCGTCCTCCCCCCCGCCTCGTCCTCCCCCCCGCCTCGTCCTCCCCCCCCGCCTCGTCCTCCCCCCCGCCTCGTCCTCCCCCCCCGCCTCGTCCTCCCCCCTCCCGCCTCGTCCTCCCCCCTCGTCCTCCCCCCCCCGCCTCGTCCTCCCCCCGCCTCGTCCTCCCCCCCCCCGCCTCGTCCTCCCCCCCGCCTCGTTCCCCCCCCTCGTCCTCCCCCCCGCCTCGTCCCCCCGCCTCGTCCTCCCCCACTGCCTCGTCCTCCCCCACCCCCGCCTAGTCCCCCCCCTCGTCTCCCCCCCTCCTTGTCCTCCTCCCCCCGTTCCAGAACGTTGTTTTCACTTTGATCGCGGGGAGGAGGGGGGGACAACAAAAGGGACCGGTCCCCTCCCCGCTGACGTCAGCTCGAGTTCACCCGCGACCGCTCGGCGCGCGCCCCGCCCCGCCCCCGGCTCTCCTGGCTTCCCGAGGCCCCAGAGCCGCGCCCTGGAGCCGCCGTCCGGGGCGGGGCGCGCGCAGCCTCCCGCTCCGCCGAGGGCGTTCCGGGCCTGTTGGCGCAGCGCGGCCTTCCCGGTGGCGCGCCGAGGAAATGGCCCCCGCCCCGCGCGGCGCGGGTCCGGGCCGCGGGCGCTCCGGGCGGCTGCGCGTCGGGGCGCGGCGCGAGGGTTCCGGGCTGTGTGGCTCCGGGCGCGCGTGCGCATTGCTGCTCCTTCCTCCCGCCCCCCCCCCCCCCCCCCCCCGTCCTCCCCAAGCCCGGCTGGGCTGGCTTCAGCACCCGACGCCGATTGCCAGCCACGCGGAGGGCGGGCTGCAAAACCCGGGCCGGAGCCGCGCGCGTACCGGACAGCGCCGCGGGTTCGGAGGCCGCCGGGGCGGACAGCGGGTGTCCGGGAGACGCCGGGTCTGCCGTGGCCGGCCGCCCGCCCTCGGGGTCGGGGCGCGGTGTGCGGCACGCCAGGGCGAGCGGGAGGCCGCCCGGGGCCTGGAGGGCACGGCTGGGACTCCCGACCGACGACCGACCCACGCCGGTGCTGAAAGTCACGCCTTCCGGCTGGCGCGCCCGGGGGCGGCGGGGCTGCCCGGACCGGGGCGCCGCCGTGGTCCCCGCGCACCTGCGACCCGGGCCCCGGGGGCAGCCGCGAAGGCCGATTCCTGGCGTCCGAAGAGGCCGCAGCGGCCGACACACCTGTCCTCCGCTCCGGAGGCCGGGAGCTGGAGGCCCGCGGCTCGCAGCCATCCCCGCCTAAAACACCTGCGGAGGCCAGAGCCCCGGCCCGAGCCCCGACCCGAGCGAGCCCCGGCCCGAGCCCCAGCCCGAGCGAGCCCCGGCCCGAGCCCCGACCCGAGCGAGCCCCGGCCCGAGCCCCGACCCGAGCGAGCCCCGGCCCGAGCGAGCGCTGGGCGAGGCCGGGACCGCTCAGAGCGGCCGGG